GCTTCTTCTTCTGGGCTTGATTGGAGGCTTCGGCCTTGCTGGTGCATCATTTTTGGAATCCTCCGCCTCGGCTAACACATTCGCTTTGGGTGGTGACCTAAGATCACTAGACGACCTTGAATACTCAAGCTTGTTCTCGCGTTGGGAGAGGAGTTTCGCGGGTGTCTTGAGTGCGTGAGGTAGAAACTCGTCATCTAGCGTCTTCCTACGGGTCCTGGAACGCAGTGAGGACAGGGTTAAATTTCGTAAAGAGATGCCTAGGAGATGTCGAAGTTTGCGATTCTGAGGATTGCCAAAGCCGTCAGCTAGAGCGCGCAGAGTTGGGCTTCACTCTGATTGTTGAAACACTGACGGAAGGCAGTAGCCAAGGCCTCTCTCTGGAGAGACCCTTGACATCATGAAAATTGTTTGAACCAATTTGTTTGGCTTTTGTTTCATGCTGGCTAGACATAATGGAGAGGTGCGGTGCACTGGATTCGCGGTGAAATCAAAGGAGTGCGAGGCATCATTCGTGACTCCTAAGAGCAGGCAGATACTCAGACTCTATACCGCATAAGACCAAAGGAAAATGAGACTCGTGCAAAAGATAAACATTAATTGCAAGTACCGTAGTCGCTCGTTCTGAGCTAGCAAATAAATCACCGCTACGGTGTTCACTGCGGCCAGCTTCCGCGCTAGCCAAAGAGCTTCAGATTGAGATGCTCTTTCTTTTTCTCTTTCTCTTTTTGTGGTCTTTTTTGGCCGGCGAGTAGTGCACTGTCGAATCACGGCAACCGATTCTTCTCCACATGACCAACAGATGGCCAGTCCCTCCGCTGTCAAGGTCTTGAGTCGCCCGGTCACGAGACTGCCAAAGGCACCTCTTCCCCAAAACACCCTTCTCATCCGCAAGCCTATACAGAAAGGCGTCCCATTGCCCACCTCCGAAAATGCCACCCAGACCGTCCATTATGGCCAGCATATCTACTTCTACAACAATATCCGCACAAACCAAGTCGTCTATTCCTTGACCCGCCATCTCAACAACGCCGCCGCGCTCTCCCAACTCCCCTTCCTCGGCAAGAAAACCGTACCCTCGAGATTACGGAAAGATCTATGGAATCCGTTCTGCATGGTGTATTTTCCAAGTCCGCATGCGGGATTGGCGGCGTTTAGGAGATTGAGAGAGTTTAGGGCATTGCATGAGAAGAGTTATCCGCTGGATATTATTAGGGAGACGGAAGGGAAGTGGAAGGGCTCACTACTACCAAAGAAAAGGCGCGGAAAAGTTCTTATGGACCAAAAAGCCAACAGCATAGCAGACCTGGCAGCCGTGCTGCAGCTGCAAAAGATAGGGCCATCGGAGGAAAGGATAGTGAATGCAGAGAGGAGACGGCGGAGGGTGGAAACTTTGAAAAAGCAGAAGGGCGAAGACAAGGTGAAAAAGGCACCAATAGACGTCGCTAGCGAGATGGGAGGCGTCGATGGTGTGAAAGTCAGATGGGCCAATATATTGGACGCGGAGTTTGCAGAGACATGGCCCGAGGAGGTGTTTCATGATTGGTTGGAAAGGAGTAGGTATACAGCTGCGTTCCCAGCAGTGGAGATCGTGGAGAATGAAGAAGGGGTGGGAGATGACTTCGTGGTTAATGGGGGTGATGGTGGGTTGGCGCAGGGAGGAGAGGGTAGAGGGTCGCATTCGGTCACTGCGTTAAGGGAGGGTGCACAGAAGCAGGCGACGGCTACGGCTTAAGCACTTGGGTGTAGGCATAGAAAGGGTGATTTTTATCCAAATCGCTGTTTATAGCATAGCGGAGGGCCAGTTTGAATTGTATGTTGATATCGTTATTCATATCATGACACGATCAAAGCTATATTTCCCCACCATCTTACTCTTTAGCCTCCCAATGTCTCTCCTGCTTCGCTTTATGAGCTCACCACCAGCGCCAACTTTAGTCGTCGAGACCACCGGTGCTGGCTTCAGACCTAATGGTAGAAGTTGAGAGTCTTCTTCATCGAGAGCTATGGTCACGGGCTTTGTTGGAAGAGCTGTAGGCTGAGCTTCGTTCGACCTCGGCTGTGTCACAGAAGAATTGAGAGAGTCCTTACCGCAGAGTAAGATCTCCCCCAACATGCCTTTAAGATAGGTGGCTTCTTCGATGCCTTCCAGTGCTGCTGAAATTTCCGCTTTCATATATGCTATAGTATCGGCAGTCTCTGTCAAATCGTCGGTCATTGGACTGCCTAGTATCCAGCCACCGGTCCCAAGACCGTCTATGACACTATTGAGGAGGTGTGCTAAGAAACACATTTGTCTGTCGTCTTGAAGGTTGAGATCCGCAGCCTCCAGGCTGTCTTCATACGGGGAAAGCCATCCGCTTCGAGCAATCTCCATTCGCAAGGTATCCACGAGGATGCGTAGCTGCGGAGTTGACAGCTCTCTCTTGAGGGCCTGCGCTACAGAAGAAGAGGGACAAGCGTATAGTCTCTTCATGGCGAAATACAGTGAACGGCGACTTAAGTTGTTATCAGGGAGGATTGGAGAGGACGACGGCGGGTAATCGGTGGTTTGCCCATTGACAAGCTGCGAGGTTCCATTTTTACCGCTGTCGTCTTCCCCGTCACCATTAGTCCAGAAGTGTTGAGTCTCCGTGGCCTCGGGGTTCGGACTTTGAGTGACAATGACAAGAATGTGGACAAGCTCTTCTGAGCTCAAAGGAACAGGACTGGCTAAGATAGAAAGAAGAATTTCCACCGATGAATCCAACTTAGCAATGGCTCGGATCAACGACCCAGCCGCCAGCTTTGAAATGACGGGAAGGGCACCATACTGTTTTAGTGACTTTTCGATTTGACTCAAGGTGAGGAGACCCTTGTCAATCAGCCAATTGCCAATTTTGTGTGGGAAGAAGCGGATGTCTAAACTTCTTGGTTTCTCACCAGCCGGATCGACATCAAGGGAAGCCTGGTCTACCAAAAACATAGTTTTCAGGACATAGCTGACTGCATGCTGGTCAACGTGATTTCGACCCCCAGAATTTGAAGCTTGTTTGTCTTCCTCGATGGCCTTCATACCCAGAGCAGTGGCCATGAGCCTCTCGAATTCCTTCTCGTCATTGTGGGCGAGGCACCGGTCCAGGTCAGCTCTCTTACTTCTCCAATCATCACTATCAACAGATGGTAGATAGCTGCCTAGATTTTTGATTTTGCGGGCTGATTCCCCAGAAGTCTTAGTGGCTCCAGTCATTGATGAAAAGCCACGGCCAATGGAATTCACAAGCAGACCCTCTCTTTTGCGCTTTCGAGATGCACGTACTTTCTGAGTTGTGGGTAATTGGACTGCTAATAATTTCCGTCCAGCAAGCGCAACTATGACATCCAAGGGGGCAAAGTACGAGAGAAGCCGCACATTTTCGGTTATCGTTGGTTTACCGTTGGGGTTTTTTGACTTCTCTTTAACCTTGGCTTCGTGATTCAATGTCAAAGTACCCTCGGCCTGGAGAGATTTGTATGGAAGGTCCATGACAGAGAGGGAAGCGCCTCTGCTGGAGGCTACCAATTCGGGCGATAGTCGCAAGTACGAGAAGGTGTCGTTCCGGACCACAGTGTGAAGAAGACAGGGAACAGATCCAGTCAGGTCGTATACAGCCAATGCGCCCTCTGCGTCTTGATAGATAGTCCCACTCGCAGTATGGATGGTGATTCGAGACTTCTTCGAGGTGAAAAGACTTGGCTCGGGCATGGCTAGCGTCGCTAACGGTTGCAGTTCTTGTCCTGGGCCTAAAGCAACACCACTTGTGTCCGAATCGGCCATTCTGATATGGAACATTCGTAATTCCAGCGTCTCAGCACTGCTGCTGGCATCCTTTGTCGGAGAACGAGTCATGACGAGCAAAAGGCTACGATCGACCGGATCTTCGTCTGGCCCCAATGTTGCTAGGATATCCTCTCTACTCCTCAAGATCGTTTTACGGGCTTGCTGAACGCTCAAGATTGCTGCTGCCTGTATGGCCGGTACTGAAACCAGATTTGAGGCGCCAGCATTGATATTTGAACGCCATTCCTCGGTCTCCAGGCCGTTTGAGTAGCCCGTAACCGTTCCGTCATCGTGTAAGGCAAGTAGCTTGTTTCCAGAACCAGCCTGAAAGGTATCCAAATGTGATACCGGCGCAGCTTCCTTGCTCAGATTGATTGACGTAGTTGTGATCTCTGCATTGGAAAACTCGGAAAAGCAGATGAGTCGGGGCTTGGGGGACGTCACTGAGCAGTATGTACATCTTCGAGCAGGCTCATCTCTTAGTCGGCGGGATCTAATAGAGCATGGTGGGCAGGTAAAGACAGCCTGGGGAGATATCGCATAGGATGTAATCAGCTTTGACGAATGAATCTTTAATGATTGTTAGCTTGCTCGGAGTAGCCTTGAGATACGGAACGTAGGCTCACATCATAGATGTTGATACCCTGGCGGTCAATCGCTAAGGCAAGCTCTGATCTCTTTCGCTTCTTTGATCCTGCAACAGCAAGCACATCGGTAGCAAGTATATTAGGTAAGCCATTAAGATCTTGCTGTATGTCTGCCAGAAGATAGGGTTTCTGGATCATCTTTCTGGTGATGCTGAATCTTCTCCAAAAGCCATAATAGCCTTGATCAAGAGCAGGCTTGACAACTTGCGCTATTGCACAACAGCGATCAAATCAAAAGACGGAAAGAAAAAGTTCGTGATTTGACTGATTGCTTCCGAAGTTTATCCTAGCGCGCTAACAGCAATTAACGCGAAGCGCGTCGAATGACGGAAAGAAAGTGCACTGTACTTCACAATGCAGTGAAGTAGGTGGAGAAGGCTTCATTCCAGAACCTGATGCCGACCTTCTCTATTCGATTCATGTAAATCCCATTACTGCCTACTAAGACAGACTTTCTGATCGATTCCGTCGAGTCTGGGACAAGCATGCTTGCTGGCAGTGACAAACAGGACTAAATGGCAGTGGTTGTGGGTATGGCTAATGACAATAGGCGAGACATGCATGCTTTCTTTATGCCTAAGGCCAGTGAGTTTCCTTCACGTCAATTCCACCTCACTCCAGAATCAATGTCTGAGGCTGAATCTGGGCAGATGCCGGACACTCTGCGGAAACAGGCTTTGATGTGAACGACAAGCGTCGCAAGAGGCAGAGGACCAGGTCACCTGATCAGGATCCCGCTGTACTAGACCCACTGGAGACACATGAATGGGTGGACCAGCTGAATGCTGCCGCTTCTGGGGCATTGCTAGGGTCCAATGCCATATACAGATCTACAGGCGATCAGGGCGAAAGCAGCGTTGGTAGGACTGCCTGGAACAGAACAGGCAGTAATGGATCAAACCTGTCAGTAAGGGGCAAAAGTCAGAACGGTTGCTCTACCGACTCTTCCTGCCCTATCAACGCAGACATGCCTTTGGCCGAGGAGATCTCCCAACCTTCAGGCGCAGATTCGAACGAGGACACCGCGAAAACTCCGCCAAAGAAGATGTTGAGAGTTCGCCCTGATGGCAAACTGGGTTCTCCCAAAGCAAAAGCCCCTGCACAAGACGCAAAGCCCAAGCGTGGCAGGAAATCCGCAAAGGCTGAGACACTTCCCAAGATGCTGGTGGCCAGTGTCAGGTACGGTACCGATGCTCAGTCTCGCTCTTCCACGGGGCGCAAAATTGCAAATATCTTCTCAAGCACGGCCATCAACCCCAGTCCCGCAAAGTCAAAGCCCAACAGACCGCCCGAACCTCCAAAACCAACGCATCCATTCTTTCTTGGAGGGCCCAAGCGCGATCGCTGCCAGCAGGAGTTAGCACAAAGCAATGATGCTAAGGAGACTAGAGTTGGAGGTCGCCCTGTAACACCGATACGAAGAGTTGTCAGCCCTACCAAGGCGAGAGTCACAAGCAAACCTCCTGGTATTTCTGAAAGCTCGGCTGCAGTCTTGAACCTTGGAGGCAATGCATTCCGCTCTGATCAAGCACGAATATCTCGATTTCCTGGTGCAATGGAGCCTTTGTGGCCTCCTGAAGGTATGGTCCATGTTAGACAAGACTACGATTCTGCTGAAATGTCTCGCCCAACACCTCATTTCTCTCATGCATCAAAAGCTCGCCGGAAGATGAAGGAAGCGGAAGTTCGCATACCAAAAGAGGAGCGGATCCTAACGCCGTACATCGATGTCGTTCAGGCCTATCGAAGCAATGATGAGGTGTTCAGAAGAGTCCATTCTCGGGAGTGGCGCGATTTTCGGCGTCCTCTTCGCCGCATTGTAACCGGTCGTGAGCTGCAGCAAGCTGTACGCCGGGAAGTTGCAAGCAAGCTCCCAATGTCATACCAAGACGCGACTGATAGACAAAACGAAAATGAACTCGGTAACCTACAGATGCCTCAAAGCCCACTCCATCCTGCTGTGCATCGTATGTATAAGAACATTGCGACCTCTCTGACTGCATTTGATATGTTCGAATGTGAAACTCAAGATTGGGTTCACAAATACGCACCAGACTGTGCCGAGCAAGTGCTGCAAGCAGGCCGTGAAGTACTCATTCTTCGAGACTGGCTGAAGACCTTGACAATCAACTCCGTTGCTTTTCGGGCCGGTGATTCTTCAAAACCCAGAGATTCCTCCGTATCCTCTCGAAGGGCTACCACGAAAAGAAAGAGAAGGAGAGCAGGAGAACTGGATGGCTTTGTGTTATCAAGCGATGAGGAAGCAAACGAAATGTGCGAGGTTACAGACTCTGAAGATGGGCAGACTCCAGGCTCGATGCTGAGAAGGTCGATAATCCGATCCAGAGATGCTGGGAACTCTGGCAAAGGCGAGCGGGTTACCAATGCTGTGGTCATCAGTGGTCCGCATGGGTGTGGCAAGACTGCTGCTGTACATGCAGTCGCTCGAGAACTTGGCTTTGAAGTTTTCGAAATCAACGCTGGTAGCCGGAGAAGCGGTAGAGATATTTGGGACAAGGTGGGCGACATGACTCGAAATCATCTTGTAAACCATGCCCATTCAGATAAAGGCGCAGATGCCAAAGAGGAAGCGGAGACCATGAACCTGTCGAGTGAGAAGCTGAAGCAAGACCTAGACTCTGGACGACAGGGAACCGTGAATTCGTTCTTCAAGTCGAAAAGAGCGCCAAAGAAAAGCTCTTCGAAAAGCAAACCGAAAGTACAGGAACTGAGCCCCAAAAAGGACCCTCCACAAAGGGACCAAAGTCAAAAGCAGTCCCTCATCCTCTTAGAGGAGGTCGACGTACTCTTCGACGAAGACAAGACTTTTTGGGCCACTACCCTCGAACTGCTCGTACAGTCCAAGCGACCTGTTATAATGACTTGTACAGACGAAAGCCTGCTCCCGTTAGAAGATATGGTCCTATATGCTATTCTGCGTCTCACGCCTGCTCCTGAGCAGCTAGCCACAGACTACTTATTGCTCGTGGCTTGCAACGAGGGTCATATACTCCCACGGGACGCTGTTCTTAAACTATACAAATCCAAAGGTTCTGATCTGCGGGCATCGATGACTGAGCTCAACTTCTTCTGCCAAATGGCAATTGGTGATACTAAAGGAGGGTTAGAGTGGATGCTGGATAAATCGCCCTCGACGAACTCCAATGACCGGAGCCAAGAACCGTTGCGCGTCGTCAGCGAAGGAACGTATCAGACCGGTATGGGCTGGCTGAGTGGCGAACATCAGAAATCTCTAGCAGAACAGTCCATGGATCAGGAAGCAGAGATGCTTTCGCAAACTTGGTATGGATGGTATATTGACGTTGGGGCTTGTGATTCATACGTTTTGCCGTTGGCCACTCAAGAGGAACCGTTGCGAACGCCAGCTTTCCAGCAATTATCAGTACTTGACCAGGTAGCCGAAAGCTTCAGTGCGGCAGACACCTTCCCAGGCCGCATCCCCTTGATCGCTGATATGGTAAGTCAACAGTGCATCATATATTGCCAATACTGACCATCCACTTCAGGCCCCGCTTGATACTGCTCAACCCGAGCTCACGGAGAAAGTGTGCAGCAATTTTGTTGAAGGCTTGAGTCTTCTTCAAGCGGATCCTGTTATTGACCAGACCGGTGTGGCCCAAGCAATAGCCTTCACAATCAAGGCCTGTGCAAGGCGATTAATGCACCCCTGTGACGAAGAACCTGTTGAAACCTCAATCAGCAATGACAAGGTAATCTACATGATCACTGAAGGCATGCAAGCCCGTCGTTCTGAAAGACTAAACGTGAGATTCGACTATGCGGCAGTCTTTGAGCCTATCGCGAGGTCTAACAAAACAGTTTTTGGTATCCCAAAAGGCCCTCAGATCTCGACGTTTGACGGATCATTATCCACCATCACCGAAGATCTCGCGCCCTACGTACGTTCCATTGTCCACTACGATCTCAGGCTGGAAGAGCAACGGCGACTACTGAGCTCTTTGCTCTCGCAACCAGGCAAAAATGGCAAAAGGCAGCGGACTACGCGAGCTAGCCGTGCAGCGCTCGAGGGTGGTAGTAAAGCTCATACGAGAAGGGAGAGATGGTTCCCAAAGAACACCAATTTTGACTTGGTGTTGCAGTCTGGGGGGGAGGGTTGGCAGGATATCGCTTTGAAGCAGGCAATGGCTGAGCGATCTGAAGAGGAAACGGGGCTAGACGAGGGATCGAGTAGGGACTCGACAGGAAGCGCGATGGAGAGTGATGCTTGATGCTTTAGATTTGCATACCATGAGGGTAGGGGCCGCAGGAGATATCAATTGCATTTTAGGTTGCTGTGATTTAGCATAGCATGACTCGCTTTGAACCGCTCTTGCAGGGGCTAGCTCTCTAAAGTATTCAAATTTTTTGGCATCTCGAAAGGCAAGGAGCCATCATCGTCATGGATTTAAGCGGCCTCAGCCTTTTCAACGGTCCAATATCTTATGGCCCAGCTCCCTTCAATTCCGCATAATTCGGGTCTCCTGTCTTATCGCCTGCAAGAATTGAGCTCTCACGAGTATTTTCACTATAGATTAATTGGGACTGTATCTTTCCGTTTCATGAGACCAAGCTTATACGTCACTTCTCACAATCTGCATACCTGCTACGGCTCATATCCACCATATTTAAAGATACAAGGGGCCATTCAAGTAGCGGTATTTACGTCGAATGGGCCTGCTCGTGCATGCCTTCGACGAATCGATCAGTACCTGCTGAGTAAAGCAGAAATGGATGTTTGCCACGAACAGATTGAATACTGGGATGACACTGTATTAATTTTGGGGGAAGAGCGAAATTATTCTCCTTCCATCTTACTCTTACTCTGCAGCCATAGGAGGCTGGACGGTAAAAGACTCGTCGGCAGGCCTTCAACATCCTTATCATCTTCTTCTCCCGAACAGGCCCATAGCTCCAAGTACGAAGATCCAAAGCCCAATCCTTAAACTTGAAGCCGTACCACTCCTTTTTTGAATCTCCACGTAATGGGACTAGCACTACTAGCCGTGAAAGGAGAAGGAGAAGACCGCGCACTTCCTTCCACTCCTATGAGAGATGCTTCGCGGTAGTGTGTGCGATAGTTGACGGTGCATAGTAGCAAGTTCTGGGCGTCTCCTGAGTCCTGATGCGAGGAAGCCTACTTTGCCTGTTTACAGCCTGAGGACCCAGAGGATAACGCCGGCTATGGGCCCACTACGTGGTTGACACGAACAGATGTTTTCGGTGCTTTGACCACGCGGGCTAGGCTACTACTTACGTAGGTTTGAGACCAGTCACTCCGTATGTGTATTCGAAGGCCACGCAGGGAACCATGAGATTATGAAGTTGAAATCGCAATATCTTGGCACAGGCTGCGAGGGTCACTGCTAGCTTTAGCGCGTCTTTGTCCGGGAGAGCTGGGACTGTACCTTCTCGGACCCATGAGTGATCCACTTGCTCCGAGACCAGGAGTACCCCGTCCGCTCCCTTTCCGCGGTTCTCGGAGTCGTCTCGACCTTTCTGCCAGCTTACTCCACGAAAGGCAGAAGAAGTCAACAAACAAGCTACCGTATTCGGTCTCCATATATTTTTGGTCCTCCAGAGCTTCCATGTAATTTTCCCCGGAGGCCAGCGGTGAGCATCATCATGCCAGCCTCGTGCACACTCGATATTGGCTGTAGTGATACCTGTGTCAGAAAGAACGTGCGATGGTCTGTGACTGGCTGAAGAAACAAAGCTATAGTTAATTATGCTGGTGAATCAATGACCAGATGCGGTATATTTGCATGATTAAAGTGGTAGCCAAAGTTTGTCCAAGGCCTACATAACCAATCATATTTTCTGTAGGTGAAGAGCTTGGCGAATGTTCCTTCAATCACACGATCGAAAGGGTGATCTTTCCTGAGAAAGCAGAAAATACTGAATACAAGAACATGAATGGCGAGCAATGGAATAATGATTTTGGAGACTTTAGCGGCAGCTTTTGCCCCAACGCAACGGTCGTATGATCAAATGTACACCAAATCTGGCTTTAGGGATCACTTTCGTCCAGGAAAAAAGGCTGGGCCGTGAATGGGCTGTTCAAGCTGGTTCTTGGAGTGTTTTGGAAATACACACACTTCAGACGAGTTCGTGTATACAGAGCTTGCGTAGCTACTTCTCCTTTATTGTTTTGGAAACTCTTCTAGAGACGGTATCCCGCGGAGTAGCGAGCAACGAATCCGACCCTGCGAAGCCCCTTGCCCAAGAGAATGAAGGATGCTTACCGGTTGAGCATTGCTAGGACACGCACGTAGATTGAAGAAAAGTATTGAGAGAAACGCCCACGATTTTTACCAAATAAGATGCGAGATAGAATGGGCGGCAGCATGACGAATTGAGAGGAAGCCAGGGTTGAAGAAGATGATAGAAAAATGTTGACATCGCCATCCTTACACTGATGAATCGGTCGACCGTACAAAAGAGCGAAAATTAAGACCATAAATCTACCCTGGTTGCGAGCAACACGTACATGTAGACTTCGGATTAAAGGTATAGATAAGAAACAATCTCGCTGAACGAGGGTGAAAACTGGTAATTGTTCTTTCCACATTAGACGTCTTCCTCGACGCTAGCCGTCGTCATCTTCAACCGCGTCGCCGCCTCGGTTCACTTGACTTCCTCGACTTCTTCCTTACATTTTTCGACCGCGCAATGCCAAGCCTTTGTCGATTGACATTCTATAAGAGGGATTGAGTGATAGCGCCGAGCCGCAACAGAGCGTTCCTAGCCAAGATGTCACTATTTGGAAGCTCCCCTGACGACTCGAGCTTGTCCAAACAGCCTGCGCGCCCCAACCAGAAATCCGCTCTTTTCGATGATGAGCAAACATCAGGTGCAAAGTCCGGTAGTTCGTTGTTCGACGATGAGGGCACTAATAGTGCTTCACCATGGGACATGCCGACCCCGAAGAAGGCCGGGAGGAGCGACTTGGTCAAGAGACTGCTGCCCGCGTCTGATGTTTCAGAGAACTACATTGATGCCTTCGATGCTTTACGGGAGACAAGTTACAAAGCAGAAGGAGGTCAAATAGGGATTGCCGGTGCAAAAAAACTGTTCGAAGGTTGTGGGCTTGATGCGTCTGAGCAGGACAGGATACTCAAGCTTGTCACTGGTGGGCAGGACACTGGACTTTGTCGGAGCGAATTCAATGTCCTGCTCGCCCTGATCGGTTTGTCCCAGGAGGGTGAAGAGGCTTCTTTAGACTCGGTTGACGAGAGACGGAGAAGTGAGCAAGACTGAGTAATGTGAAAGGTAGATTATCGATGCTAATATTTCCATTTCTAGATCTTCCCGAACCATCGGTACCCTTCATAAAGCAGATCAGGTCTGCCAAAGTCTCCGAAAACCTCGAAGAGACATCACCAAAACAGGAAGCGCACAGTGCACCGCCCAAGCAAACTACTCCCGGAAATTCTCCTCCTAAATCACGCCGAATAAGAAAAGACTCGCTGGAAAACCTAGACGATGATCCATGGTCTAGCCCAGCTTTGCACAAAGGTCACACCCATACCGTCAACAATGAGGCAACTCCGTCGTCGAATCCTACAGCGGCGAAGCCAATAAGAAATGGGGTCACTGAGCCGTCGCGGACTACGAGTGCTTTCACGACGTATTCCGACAGTCCAAGCTCAACGATGCCTTCGGGAGAAGATACGAGAGAGCCTCCCATGGATGGAGGTGCTGGAGGTTGGGGATCGGAGGGGCCACCTAGCAGTGGGTTTCCGAACGCAGGACAGTCAGGTGGCGGCTTCGGCTCAAGTGGAGACGACCAAGGCAACCACACTGGAGGGAGCATTGGAAGGTCCTTAGGTGGAGGGCGTACTATCAACCGAGGCGTCGAGGAGACCGTCAGTGTCAGCCTTCTTCCAGAGAAGGAAGGCATGTTCATGTTTCAACATCACAATTACGAGGTGAAGAGCGCAAGAAGAGCAAGCTCGGTCGTACGAAGATACAGTGACTTTGTGTGGTTGTTAGACTGTTTGCACAAAAGATATCCATTCAGAGCATTGCCATTGTTACCACCGAAAAGAGTTGCCGGTAGGACTCAAGGCCCTGTCAAATCCATTTATACTGACGACTGACTACATCCAGTCAACGGAAGGCATCTATCAGCCGACGTCACATTCATGGAGAAGCGCAGACGTGGTCTGGTAAGATTCGTTAATGCCCTAGTCAGACATCCAGCTCTAGGTCAAGAACAACTCGTTGTAATGTTCCTAACCGTGCCCACTGTGAGTGCTGTTTACTCGTTCGACTTGCATCAAAAACTCATATTTAGCACCAGGAACTTGCAGTGTGGAGGAAGCAGGCTACCATTTCAGTGCAAGAAGAGTTTGTGGGCAAAAGTCTTCCCTCCGGCCTTGAGGACTCTTTGCCTACAAATTTATCGGAGACCTTCGACACTGTCCGGTCTGGCGTTCGGGAATCATCAGAAAAGTACATCGGCCTGTGTGGTTTACTAGAGCGTCTAGCGAAGCGAAATCAAGGAATCGCAGCAGATTACCTTCGGTTCTCGCAGGCATTGATGGCTGTAACCGAGACCTCACAGAGTACATACGCGACTGATACGAATGACGTCCCACTGTTAAATGAGGGCATAAGCTCGACCGCAAAGCATCTAACGACCAGTCAGAGCTTACTAGAAGACGAAGCTCGCGCTTGGGACGAGGGTGTTCTGGAGGACTTCAAAAAGCAACGAGATACTCTTGTCAGTATTCGAGACATGTTTGACCGGCGCGATCGATATGCGAAAGACAACATCCCCTATCTAGAGCGAAGGATTGAGAGCAATGAGAACAAGCTCGCTGGTCTCATGGGCAGGGCGGAAGGGGCCCCGGCCAAACCAGGAGAACAAGAAAAGCTTGAGCAAGCTGTGAGAGCTGTAAGTGCTTTCTACATATTGGTGTGAGTTATTGCTGACACTGAATAGGACAAGCAATCAATTGTCGATCAGCATGCCCGCGGAGTGTTCATCAAAGAGTGCATCCGGGATGAGCTCGTCTTTTTCCAACAGTCTCAATACCAGGTCAGCAGGTTGCATCAGGATTGGAGTCAAGAGCGTGTAAAGTATGCTGAGCTTCAAGCTGATAATTGGCGAGCATTGAGCGAGGAGGTCGACAATATGCCTTTGGGAGAATAGATGTGCATGGGTGACAGGAATCTCCTTGTGTCCTCAATGTACAGATACAGGCCTATGTTGGCCGCTTAGATA